TGGTGTGCGCATACTCGTGTGCCACAAATTGCTTTCAGGGGAAATTTATTTTTCGATTAATATTTATCGTACTATAGAGTACGATAATCAGCGTTAGGTGGTAAGTGATAAAGCGAAAAAGAAAGTAAAAAGAAAGTAACAAGAAAAAGAACAAGAAAATAAAAGCAAGTGCGTTGGTAACCTGAGAGGGTCGTGCGAACCAGTACCGGTGGATTGAAAGTTCCCAAGGCTGTCGTTACGTTACTTGCCTCCTCCAAGTATCGTACAAGTTAGGGAGAGATATATATTTAATATATGTGTGTGCGTGTGTATGTGTGTGCGCGAGCGCGGACGCGTGTGTCCGTATAAAGATGCATAATGGAAAAGAGAAAGACAACGATAACACTCCCTCACACACATAGACACCCATACACGCATAGAATATACTCGGTAGCCCCCGCCACCCGTATTTATGAGCTTTCCCTACGCCAGCTGACTTTAAATTGAGTCTACTACTTGGAAACGCCGCGGATTAACTCTGCGACGCATGAATTCTTTAGCGAGCGTATTCTCGCCGGGGTGCCGCAGAGATTAGCCGCGTTCCTTTTCGCCGTTCGCGCGAGAAAGCTTTCTTTAGGCAAAAGATAACAGCGAAAAGTAGAAGAAGAAGAAGAAGAAGAAAGAAATAAAGAAAGGAACGAAGAAACGATAGAAAAGTCCGAGTCCCTTTGCTTCAAAGTAAGAAGGTAAAGAAAAAGAAAAAAAGATGAAAAAGAGGTTAACGAATTTAGACATTTTTTTGTTCCTTTTGTTTTCTCTCAGCTCGTTCGCGAAAAAAAAAGAAGAAAGAAAAAGAAAGAAAATGGTTCAGAATTTTCGCGAAAACTTGAGATACCAGTTTGGAAATTCAATTGCATCTTCGTCTCTCTCTCTCTCTCTCTCTCTCTCTCTCTATGAGAAAAGGAATAAGTTCCTATTCTAGAATCTTTCGGAATATGTTTTCGATGCATAGGATGGCGTTAAGTGCAACGTGCACAGGATAACAATAATGGTCGAGCTGAGATTCTATAATTTTTCCATATACCGTTGGTAAAGCCGATATAAAGGTAGAGGGACACGTAGTATATTTTATCTCACCAAATGGAAAATGCCGAAAGGAATACACGATATTCTCCTCTCTTGGAAAGTTTCTCTACGAATAAATCATGTGTTGATTATTTTGTATTTTTATCGTAAACCATAACGAAATTTCGAAAGAACGTGCACACAAATTTTTCATTTAATAATACGTAACAATAATAAATGAGTTAATTAATCGATTCAACGATAACGATGATCCCAACGACAACGACAAAGACAACGACAACGACGACGACCAACGACGCATATATGCGAATAATCTCTACAGGATATTATTTCTATAATATGTTGATTATATTTATTACAATGTATATTCACGGCTGGTCGAAAGGTTCGATTTGAACCGCTTTAAAAATGCATTTTAGTCTGGACAATGAGATAATAAGCTATTTCGAAGCATAGACTGGGTGTTTTGGTACGAAGCACCTCGCGTTGTGTTCAAACAACGTGTAATGCAATTCTATGCACCAATGAGTTTTGACTACCCACGATCGTAATTGCTAATTAATTATTACCGACTTTTCTGCATAACAAAACGATCCTACCCGTTTCTAAAATGGAAACGATTTCCTCGATTATTTTGTTCGAAGCATGCAACCGGAACCGTTAGAGAACACTATGAATCGTTCATTTGCGAATGAATAACGTAATCGTGTGCTCGATGAACGATAGTTTAAATTCCTATGCTCGAAGCGAATATAAACGCATCGTTGAAATAATTCACTTTGTATTATATTGCAATAACTTTTATCTTCTTCTACAAATTAATACTCTCTCTCTCTCTCTCTCTCTCTCTCTCTATTATTATTACTTATATTATCTTTATATTGTATTTTTTGTTAAACTTTGATTTTATTTGTCGGCACACATTGAGAAAGAAATGTTTGTTTTTTTGTCACGAGAATTCGACATATCCATTTTCGTGAAAGAACAGGAATTATCGGCTGAATTCTAGAATCCGGAATTGAATTCAGCAGTGTACGCGGGAGCCAATGGCCCGAGGAGAAAGCAAAAGAAAACGAGAGGAAAGAGTAAGAAAGAAACGCGCAAGGGTGGTGAACATCAAATGATGTATTACAAGTAACTGCGGCCAATAAAAATTAAGCGTTTTCTTTGCTCCGTGTGATTTGTGGATAATAAATCAAAAGAACTATTGCAATTTGAAAGCACTAAATGTATACGCATATAAAAGGTACAATTAAAAATGTCTTTGATGAGATTTATATTGAACGAAAAAAAATGGTAAAAAAAAAAAACATGTGTGCATATCAAACAAGTTAGAAATGAAACCTTTAAATAAACAAATTTGGAGGATAATTTATTATATAATATTATTATAATATTATTTGTACTTTTAATTTGTAATTATTTATTTAATTATTAATTTAATTATAAAAATGCGCGCCTGTTNATAAAAATGCGCGCCTGTTTGTATGCAACCCTCCAGACACACTTTGAAAATGTTGCTTGCGAGCGTCATCTACTGAAACGGAATTTTTTGGAAGTTAAAACTGTTTATACACGTATGCATGACGGGTTGCTTATCTTTCGGGTAGAAAAATGTCTCTGGAGGGTTGCATTCATACAGGCGCGCATTTTTATAATAATTACAAAGAAAGTAAATAATAAAAAACTTTAAAAAATGTTTGCAAATCAAATATTTTTATAAATAATGATAAAAATTAAACTTTAATATTGTAATTAATTTATGCATATTTTTAGAACAATATTTAGTATTTTTAAGGCCGTTTCTTTTCCCCACTAGATCCAAGTTTCGTTTTCCCACTACATCATCGGGTTTCAGTTTTTCAAATAACACCCATTCTAAAGAAGTTTTCACTTAAAAAAGACAATTGCTAGGACTATTTGAAAAAATAGAAAAATATCTCTATACAGAGACATAGAAGAAAATGAATCACGTAGAGTACCACCGGCAGCAATTTCTGAAATTCATCAGGAAACGCAATATGTTCGAGCGCGAGATGGAACGCTTTGGGGCGATAATCGGATCGATCGTACGCGAGGGATGACTTTCCTGCCGAAAAGGAAATTGGTCGTTAGTTATTCTACCTGCTACTCTCACGGCAGGAAACAATTACAAATTTGCAAGCAACAAAATCATTCTTCGTTCGTTGCTATAATTTTCATTGGACAACTAACAAGAAGACGGTGTGATCGACCATCCTCAGATTTTTTTCAAATTTGTTATACTTGTAGTAATCCATGAGAAGATTCATTGTTCCTTTAAACCTGCTGCAAATACCTAACATTCTAACAATACCACTACCATGAAAGATTTTTAAAGACACTGTCCTTAATATACTTACACTAGGAAAAATACCATATACAGTAGTAATCTATCAAATGAATAGCTGAAGGAGTGCATTTTTGTGTTTTCCAAGTGAAAAAACAAATAGCAAATACATTCTAATGTGCAGTTCTCAACATATACTAAATTTATTTCTGTGCATCTTTCTAGGAACTTAAAAACATTATTGGGAATCAAGTGAGATCGGAAAAAAATTATATATTTGTATGAACTCAAGTCTTCTTGTAGAAAATCCCTGTGAATTATTACACGAAAAGAATGCACTTGCAGGGACAAGAAATAATCTAGAAAATAATATGTTTAGAATTAAAAATAATAAATTTTGTTTGTGAGGACGAAGCAAATATTATATTACTGTTAAAATACATTTATTTTTATCGTATAAAAAGTGATTTACATTGTATATATTTTTAATCATTTAACAAAAATATATTGGAAAATTTGTATTTTATTACCGACTGTAAAATATGTGCCGCTATCTAGCGGTATTTACTAGTGGCTATTACTTTATTTTACCGACTGGTAAAATATGTGCTGTCATCTACAGGTATTATTTATAATCTCATCTTACCGACTGTAAAATACGTGCAGCCATCTACCGGTACTAATTATTACTTTATCTTACCGACTGTAAAATATATGCTGTCATCTAGCGGTACTAGCAATTACTTCATTTTACCAACTAGTTAACATTTTATCGCTATCTAGCGGTAAAAAGTAGTACTTTATTTTACCGACCGGTAAAAAAAGTTTCACCATCTAGTTAGAAAAACACGTACTACTTCTTACTTAAAATATATATACTAGATATTTTACATAAATTTATTTAATTAATGTTTTACATGTACGTTATATATTGCTATTTCAGGTAAATAATTTTTGTCGAAAAATTTATTTTGTAACAGGAGAACATGATGTGCGTGAAAGTAGCACGTTTTCTGGGATTCCTGGAAGTTTTTGGAAATTTAGAAATTCTTAGAAATGAGGTTATTAAGGTCGAAAATTTTCGGAAGTTGAAAATTTAGAAAATTTTCTTAAAAATCAAGTTTATTACCAGGAACACATGATATGCGAAGAGGTGGCACGATTTCGGGGATTTCTGGAAATGAGGTATCTCGGAAATTTAAAAATTCTTGGAAATGAAGTCATTAAAGTCGAAAATTCTCGGAATTTAAAAATTTTCTAGAAAATCAAGATTATTACCAGGATCACATGATGTGTCAAGAGGTGGCACGCGTTATCATTTTTATGCATTTTAAATTGTACTTTAAATAAATATTTTCAAACATAGAAATAATACATCTCCAGAAAATTATTTTTAGTTGCAAGCTCTGCAATTATTATTTTGTAGGAATGTCGGGAACTTCGTTTAGGGTTTTAAATGCCAGAAATAATTGCAACAAATTATTTGATTTCATTTAAGTATATTTTATCAATTTAAATCTTCTACAGAAAGTTTCTTTTACAATATTTTAATGTAAGTTTGATTTTTAAGATAGATAAGTTTCAATTAGTATAAAAAAATCAATTGAAAATCTAGTACGATTTTTTG